GGTTTTTGCTTGCAAGCTGCAGATAGGAGTGCTACAGAGTTCAGGGTTGTCTCCTTTGGGTTGCTTTAGTTTCAGTAGAAGCTAGAAGTCTGAAATCTTCCAATGATCTAGTAATTACCGGATCCTAGTCTTGCTACAGGTTGTGGGAAATCCCAGACGACGATCTCTCTATATGGGTGGACACTGACACTATGACACAATTGCCTGCCTTCTGTTCCTTGTGCACAATCCATGTAAGGATGATATAGTTACTGTGATCTATCTATCTATCTATCTATCTATCTATCTATCTATCTATCTATCTATCTATCTTTGTTGGATCTACTGCAAAAAATATAATTGCATGCTTTATGTATGGATTTCAAAAATTTATGCATAAAATATATATTTTAGTTGCTTTCCCATGAACTTAAAAAAATATTTATTTACCTTACTTGTAAGGTAGAGATGAAGGGAAAGATCTTCCACCTGATAGTTCATTCCCCAAGTGCTTGAAACACCTTGGGGTGGGTCAGGCAGAGGTAAGAAGCCAGGACCTCAATTTGTGCCCACTGTGGGTGGTAGGGACTCAAGTATTTGGGTTATCACCTGCTGCCTCCTGCCTGCCAGGACGCACAATCTCAGGGAGCTGGGATGGTGAGTGGAGCCGAGACTGGAACATGGGCCTCTGCTCTGCAACGTGAGCATCTCAAACAGCAGCTTAACTGCTACACCAAACCCGTGCACCTCCATGAACATTCTGAAGTACCCCAGTGGACTAGGGTTCGAATCTGTATTTCCATATAGTCAATGTGTCATGTTGTCAAGATATTTAGCCTGAGATTCTGCTTTCTTACTTATAAAATGGAGTTGTGAAAGTAAAAAAATAATATCTAAGAATACAACTAGAATTTGCTCTTTACCAGTCTGCTCAATAAGTATTATTTTTCAATAAATACGTAAAAGTTGGGATTGCCACTCAACTTTCATATATTCTATCAGCCTTTCCCATCCTTGAGTATTTTTAACAAAGACATGTTTTTCAAAATTCTAACCAGATCTGAACAGAAGTCTTTAATGGCAGAATTAGCCTGATTTATTCCAGCCCACAAAGTGCATGGCATTGAATGCATCTCTGACGTGGGGTACATAAGTTTCTCCCCTGCAGTGTGGAGGCAGACCCAGAAGAGTTCAGGACCTGCCTCAGTCCTTCAGGATTACATTAGCAGATACTCTAATTCGCGAAGTAGTAAGACAAAGGCCAGAGACCTAGAAATGCTCCTCTGACAGGGTATGTAGTCGGTAGGCTCAACTGTTAGGATCAATATTTTCCTTTTGTTCTATTATTATTTATCAAGGATAGTTTTGAAAATTTTAAGTTTGTTCATAGATTAATGTGACTTGAGAAAAGGGAATGCTGCTTCATGTTGCTCAGAATTCTAAAAAGAAAAAAACCTTCAGTTTGAAATTTCACACGTTAAAGACAGTTTGAAAAATGGTACAGTGTTCCTACACATTTTCCGATCAGATCCCCCCAATAAGAACACCTGAAATGATCATTGTGCTTTTATGGAAATCATAACATTCACATCAGTGCACTACGATTTACAGGCCTTATTTGACTTTTGCTGGTTTCCCCTCACACGCCCTATTTTTGACTGGCTCAAGGAGTTAGTATTGCTTGTGCTGCAGTTAGTTGCTGTGTCTTCATAGCACCCTCCCGTATTTTGCAGTATGTCCCTCAACTTGGATTTCTCTGATGTTTTCCAATGATTTGGTTTAGGTTATCATGCATTTTGAGGAGGATTGTCACTGAAGTCAATATGATTTCAACCTTAACTAGTTAAGATGGTGCCTACCAGTTCTTTTTTTTTTTTATGTAACACGTTCTCTTTGTAATGAATCCTAATCTTGTGGGAAAATATCCTTGTTTTTTCACTATGATTATCTACTGGTTTTAACATGCATAGATGGTTCTGTGCATTTGAGTGTGTTTTTGTTTCTGTGTATGTGTAGATAAGTTTCTAGTTTCCTAATTATGTCTTACAATTGAAATTTCCTAAGAGATATTCCTTATCCCTCATGTATTTCTGTTAGTATTAATAGCAATATGGACACATGGATATTTATTTCATTCTATGAGGTATTATCCAATGCTATCTTCTCTATTACTAAAATTGTTTTAGATTTGGCTATTGGGAACTAATTCAAGTTGGGTCCTATGTTTTTTTTTAAATGTGGTCTCATCATTTTTATTTCTACTTATTTATTTACACTTACTATTCTTGACTTTTCACTGTCTCATCTTTGGAATCAGCCATTTCTCTGAGTCTCTGTAACTTCCACTGGACACTGTGTTTGGTTCTTGGCATGCTTCCACGCCTGCTCATCGGACACTCGTTCACACACACTGACACCTACACAGACCCCGTCCTGTTGCATCTAGCCCTTGAACTAGATCTTCTGAATCATGAGTCCATACGAATAACTTCTAATTCCAACCAAACACTCCAGAGTTTACTCTAGCCTTCTCTTTATCTCTTATTTGTAACTTCGTCCTCTGATAGTGAGAAACCTGGTCGCATTACATAGTCAATGTATTTACTTCTTGTGTCTAGTGTGTATATAAAGCAGTTCCAGACTAATTCAAATCTCTGCAAAAACCCAAACTGATTAAAGAGAGGGGACGTAGGCATAGAGGGAGGGATGACACTTCTATGAGCACACCATCTTACACATATAACCACGACAATGTTTGTCATACTCAAAAACACAAATAAATAAAACAATCTAGCATACAAGGAGAATGAAAAAAAAAATAGATGAAAGCAGTAACAAATGCAACTGAGGAAGAAACAAGGAATATTGGAAAACAGTATTTTAACTAAAATGAACTAAATAGTCTATAGGCTAAGTAGCGAATTTGGTAGGGATTTTAAAGAGCAGAGTGCACAATTTAAATTTATCATTATGGAGAAAGCTAACGTTTTCATCACAACCATCACTGACTGCTGATAAGTACTCAAATATTAGTGCTGTGTACTTAGAGCACGAAGATGGAGATGCCCATATAAACAGAGCTTCTAAATCCAATGGTGTCATTGGATGCAATATTTTCACTGCACAGGTGTAAAAGTGGAACCCAAGAGACACTGGGAGAGTGAAGAGTAGAAGCTACACAGTGAGTTATTTGAAAACAAGAAGTGATAAAAATATTTGTTACTATTATGCTATACACAGCTTATGTAGTATATTAGTATGCAAAAAAGAAATGGTTTAAACTCATAAACCTCAAAATATTAACACAACCCACGAAATTATTCCATATCATCATTAAAAGACACATGCTTTAAAACTGAAAGCATGAAGGACTTTTAAAACAGGTGTCTCAAAAGTTAAAAGTATATTGTTTAGAAAGGTTTCACTGACACAAACACCAGAGTCTAGCTGAACCACAAAAGATCTTGCAACATATTGGAAACCAGCCAAATGATACTTTCTACCTACAAACAAAATTTAAAGCTGATAATACTTTAAAATAAGATTTATTTATCTTTATTGAAAAGGCAGATCAGATTTAGAGAGGGAGAGAAAGACAAGAAAGATCTTCATTTGCTGGTTCACTCCCTAAATGATTGTAATGGTCTGAACCGAGCCAATCCGAAGCCAAAAGACAGGAGCCAGGAGCTTCCTCCAGTTCTCTCATGCGTGTGCAGGGTCCCAATTGGGCAATTCTCGACTGCTTTCCCAGGCCACAAGCAGGGAGCTGAATGGGAAGTGGAGCAGCAGGGACACGAAAAGGCATCCATTTGGGATCCAATTGCTAGCAAAGGAGGACTTAGCCACTGAGCCATTGTGCTGGGCCCCAGAGTTGATAATATTTTAACACAAGTATGTAATGATCATGAAAGTTTTATTATTTTACTTAAATTTTTAAAAATTTATTCTTATTGGAAAGTCAGATATGCAGAGAAGAGGAGAGACAGAGAGAAAGAACTTCTGTCTGTTGGTTCACTCCCCCGGTGGCCACAAATGTCAGAGCTGAGCTGATCTGGAGCCAGGAGCCAGGAGCCTCTTCTGCATCTCCCACACTGGTACAGGGTCCCAAGGCTTTGGAGTGTCATTTACTGCTTTCCTAGGCTACAAGCAGGGAGCTGGATGGGCAGTAGGGCTGCTGGGATTAGAACCAGTGCCCATATGATATCCCCACATGTGCAAGTCAAGGACTTTAACCGCTAGGCTATCACACTGGGCCTGGAAGTTTTATTTTTGATAGTGAACATGGCTTAGTTGTTTAATATCTATAATAAAATTACTGCTCTTTCAGATAATCCTTTGGAGAACTTGATTCTAATTTGAGATTCCATTCAGATATGAATACAGCTTTCCAAGGGTATTTATTTTATACTTAGCATTTCTACAGCATATTCTATTTTCCAGCATAATTTGGATCCTTTATTTAAATTATGCTGTGGAGCTGTGAATAATGGTTTCCTGTGCTCGTCTCCAACAGAGCTGACAGCCACTGACATTCTGTTGTGTGTTTTCACCCTTTTCTTAGAAATCCTAAAATACCTAACACAAGGAGTGTGCCTTCGTTAGGTCCTCTGCTTCACTGTTGCTTGCACATCTTTAAGTGACTCAAAAACTTGTCATTGAGCAACTGCTTTCTGAAATTCCTGCTGAAACGCTAAGCTGTCATTTCTCAGTTCCTCTCTCTCCACAGCCAGAAAGTGTTTATCTTTTCACATATTTAAGTCTTTGTGAAATTGTGATAGTTATATGATTAAGGCACCCTGGAGTTTTAACTTACTTGTTTAATAAAGAATAGTAGTTTATCAGCATGCAGCAACAGAAAAAGAAACAAAACCAGCATGCAAACAGGTGTTATCACACAGAACCTGAACTTAATGGGAAACTGTGGAGGGCTGTTAAGCAGGTCAACTCCTTATCCTTCAGAGCAAGCTCCTCCCGTGGTTGAGTTCTTGGGGAGTCCTAGACAATTCAAGCATAGCATTTGCAGTCTCATTCCATAAACTTTCATTTGCCTAATGTGATGGTAAGTAGCTAACTGAATTAAAATGGATTTACAGAAGGTTCTGAATCTGAGCTCTAACATGAAGTCTTGGCTACCTTGCAAATTTCCTGTGTACCTTTTCATTTTGGGATTTCGGACTCTTGTCATGGGAAAGGATATGTTTCAACTGCTGGGATGCTAACATTATCTTGACTTGTTGAGTGAAACTGACACTGTTATTTTAGTGGATGAAACTGACATTCTTAATTTAGTCAACACTGTTTTATTAAGGGGACCTAATTTTCTATTTATTGGTTTGTTCTGTTGGTCAGGCATGAATGCTTAACATATGGTGAAATATGTAAACCTTTACTACTTTTTTTTTAAACTATATGAGGGAAAACTTAACATTAGAACTTAGGCAGGGCTAGAAATGTGGATTATTTATGAAAGCCATGTATCTTCAAACTGTGGGTATTTTTTTCTTATATGCATGTTAACTAATTTTCACAACCTGAGAATGTTCTTCATAATGTAATACATTTTGAATAATGGCTCAAATGAAAAAAAATCATGCAAAGGCAGGAAATAATGTGCAACGGTAAGTACCCAAAGAGTTTGGTATCATATTGACCATAAAATTTGATCAAATACAACTATTTAGGTAGCTTTCACACAATACAGAGTGTTATATTCACCACAGTTTCATTAATTTTACCCTCTTGTTGTTTCTTGCCCAGTTATCCTATGTGATAGAAGAAAATGTAAAGGAGGGCATCTTATTATATAAAGCATATTAAAAAGTTCATGGAAAATGTGTATTACCAGAAGATCATGAGTTCAAAATGTTTTGCAACAAAACAAATTTATTTTAGTTTCACTTTGCTGTAAACTCTTTGAAGTCCTCTTATACATACTAATATCTTTGCTTTGTCATTACTCTTCCTTCCTGTGCCAATATTCCTCCTCTGTTAAAAAAGTAATCTCCTTTCTGCTTAGATTGAAATTTTTAGTCTTTTATTTAGGTAATACTGTCTTAGTGTTCTCTTATGTGAAAATATTCTGATTTCTTCTTAAATATTGAGGAATTCTACGTTGACAGTTCTTTTCTTTCAGCATTTAAATTGTTTTTAAGATTTATTTTATTTTTACTGGAGAGTCAGATATTCAGAGAGGAGAGACAGAGAGGAAGATCTTCCATCTGATAATTCACTCCCCAAGTGACTGCACGGCTGGTGCTATGCCGATCAGGAGCCTGGAACCTCCTCCAGGTCTCTCACATGGATGCAGGGTCCCAAGGCTTTGGGCTGTTCTTGACTGCTTTCCCAGGCCACAAGTAGGGAGCTGGATAGGAAGTGGAGCTGCCGGGATTAGAACTGTCACCCATATGGGATCCTGGTGCGTTCAAGACGAGGACTTTAGCTGCTAGGCCATGGTGCCGGGTCCTCAGCATTTAAATTTTAAACAAGATTTATTTATCCAAAAGACAGAATTACACAGAGAAACAGAGAGGGAGAGAGAAGAGAAAGAGAGACAGAGAGACAGAGATATCTTTCATGTGCTTGGTCACTTCTAAACGACTTCAGTGGCAGAGACTGGGCCAGGCAGAAGCCACGAGCCAGGTTCTTCATCTAGTCTCTATGTGGGTGGCAGAGGCTGAAGATACCCGAAGCATTCTTCTGCTGCCTTCCTGTGTGCATTAGCAGGGAACGCAGTAAGAAGCGGAGCAGTGCTGAGACTTGAAGCAGCACATGCATGGGATGGTAGTACTGCAGGTGGAAATTTAACCCACTTGCCACAAGGCTGAATACATCAGTATATTTAAAGTGTACTACTTCTTGCTGGCTTTCATGGTTTCTCATGAAAAACTGCTGTCACTCCGATTGGGTTTTTTCCCCCCTAAAACGCAATGATGTGTCATTTCTTATTCCCGTTTTCTGCTTTCAAGTTTTTTTTTTTCCTTAAACATGTGACATTTGCCTACTATGAGTCCTTGGTATGTATTTCTGTGGGTTTATCCTGTTTGGGGTGAGGATTTATGTCTTCTGCCAAACTCTGGAAGTTTGTAGCCATTTTTAAAGATATTTTCAACTCTATTCTCTCTCTCTCTGAGCCCCAATGACTAGAACTCTGTTCTTTTTCCCCAGTCCATCTTTTTCTTCCTGCTGTTCAGACTGGGTCAATTCTATGGTTTCACCTCCAACTTCACTGTTTCCTTCCTTCGACTTGAGCTTGTTTATTGAGCTTAACATATTTTTAGTCATTTTTTTCAATCATAATATATACTTCTATTGCTTCTTTATATTTTTGTTGTCTTGCTGGACTTCCTATTTTGTTTCCAAACATATTCATAACTGATTACTGAAGCATTTTTAACATGCTTGCTTTAAAATTCTTTTCAGCTAATTCCAATATCCATGTCATTTCATGGGTGTTATCTGTTGACTGTCTTTTCAAATTCAATTTGAAATGTCCTTGTTATTATTATGTAAGTGTTGTTTTTTTCAAGATTTACTTTAATTTTTAATTGGAAAGGCAGATATACAGAGAGAAGGAGAGAAGCTGGAGCTGAGCCAATCTGAAACCAGCATCCAGGAGCTTTTTCTGGGTCTGCCACGTGGGTGCAGGATCCCAAGGCTTTGGGCTGTCCTCCACTGCTTTCCCAGGCCACCAGCAGGGAGCTGGATGGGAAGTGGAGCTGCCGGGACATAAACCAGCATCCACATGGGATCCCGGCATATTCAAGGTGAGGATATAGCGACTAGGCTACTGTGCTGGGCTGGACAAGTGCTTTTTTTTGAAAAAAAAGACATGGACAGTATTGATTACTGAAGTAGAGAGAAGCATGGGGTGCTATTTCAGTCTTGTGTTGTAGCTGGTCTCTCACTACCTGCTTTTCACCAGCAGAAGGAATGACGTTCAGGATCCTCTTGTTCTCAGCTTCTGTCCCCTGTACCCAGATCAGGGCGCACTCATTACTGCTAAGCAGAGGCACGCTCTCCACAGCCAGCATCCGTGCTGGGAAGGGCAAAGAGCCTCGTAACGGACTGCTTCTCAAGTGGCTCCCTCTGACATGTGGGTGGTTTGTCTCTGCATAGCCTACCTCTCCACTGGCCTTTCTCTGACACTAGCTTGGCACTGACAAGGAAAAACATGCTGTTTGCACTAGCCATAAGTGAGATGCAAGCTCAGGCTTTCCATTGACCCAGAGGGAGGAAGGGAGGGCTCTCGAAGGGATGGAAAGCCCAGCTCCTTGGATGGTCTTGCCTGACATGAGGGAGTGGTGCTAGAGCACCTTACTGTAGCAAGGCCGGAAGTCTGAGGTTCCCCATATAGTCTTTGCTGGTTACGATTGAGGAGTGAAACTGCATTTTTACCATGATATGTGGCTGCAGGGGAGTAGTTACAGTCTAGCTTTGTGTCTTAGGAGGCTTGGCCCTTTAACTACAGACAACAGATATTTCTTGAGGCTTTTTGTGTATGTGTGTGCACCTGTTGAGGTTTTTGAGTTGCTGGCTTTTGCAACACCAACTCTGATCTATGAGAGAGATACAAGTTGAAAGAAAACAGAATCCACTGCCACGTCATTAGTTGGCTCCGAAGTCCCCAGACTGTCTGCCTATTGTCTTGTCTGCTCCTTTCAGAGCCTTCTTGCATTGCTCTAAGGATTTTAGGCATATTCAGCTTTCTTTTTTCTATAAGCAGAAGTCTTAAAAGAGTTTTTTTTTTTAAGCAGTTTAACAAAGGACTAAAGGACTAAGTGATTAACTTTTCTCAATACTTCCTAGCTGACTTCTATGGGAAAACCAAAAGATAGATTATTTTCTGTTGGAAAAATTTTAAAAAATTCGTGTTTAAGTTTTTTTCATAAGATATGTTCTATATACTTTTTTATTTTATCTTGCACATTGGGTAAAGAGAATCTGTTTGCATTCTCTATGTTTAATAAGAACTGAGACGTTTCAGACAGAGGGAGTTTCAAGTTGGCTCATATTTTAGAAGTGTATTTTCAAAGAGCAGAAAGAATGTTACGTAACCAAGGATAGCTGCAGGAGTTCAGGCAATGTGAACTCCAAATAGTGTCTATGAGGGAGGTTAAAAAATGGAAAAGGAAGGAAACTCTTAAAATGCCAAAGAAATGTCAAGATCACCTCCCTGAAATTGGTGGTGTATCAGCAGATTAGAAATACAAGGAAAAGGTTTTAATGACTTCAGTTATTTGAGGGGAATTTCTCTAGGATCTAATGGCACACTGGTATCAGAGATAAAAGATACAATTGTCAGTAGACTACCACCCCTTGTCAGAAGAGTTGCTTAGTGGAGCCGAGGGTTCTGTAACCAATCACAGCAGGTCAAAGCTGTGGACAACAGGTGTGCGGCATTCACAGTATCTGACTCCCTGTGTCTAAGGGAGGCCATGGAACAGCTGACTGCAGATGGGAGAAAGGAGACAGAATAGGAAGAGAATGCCTCAGGCAGAAGGAACAGCATATGTCAAGATTTAGAGGGACAACAGGCTATAGCTAAGGAGAGCCATGCAAGTCTGGAGAGAGATAGCAGGGAGTAAGACCGTTAAGGTGCTTTTCCTATCTTGCTAGAGTTTGGACTCAAATCCAAAGAAAACCAGGAACCCTAGACTTAGTTTTGATTTTTCTCTACCAGAAAGTATGAGGTTCAAAAGTAAAGAGAACTAAAACTTTGAACAGAAAAATCCCTTGTACAAAAAAATACTTGGCCTCCCAGCTTTTAAGTTGTTTTTTTTTTTTAAACAGGAAAGTTGTGGAAAATAAATCACTTGTGTGATTATGGTCTGTGAGGAACAATGGGGATGTGCAAATGGCATTTGTGCATTTCACCTCGGACCTCCCTTCGTAAAGTGCAGACCAGAATTATTTAACTGCCACCCTAACAATATTTTCTAGAATGAATTATAAAGGTTTTTTTGGGTGTGTGTATATTAAACTGTTCAATAAAAACAGAAGTTACTAACTGGGTCTCATATTCAGTTTTGATAATAATTATTATTAAGTGGTCTAGAAAATTTATAACTATAGTATATGCGGGTTGCTTTAAAGATTTTTTACATGATCTATATTATATTTCTTTCTGAGGACATTTATGAATTATACACATATGTAGTTCATATTTGTACTGATGTTCCTGGGCTATCCTGGGCCCTGCTCATCAAACTTCTGAAAATGACAGCAGGGGAATGGACATGATGAGTGACAGAATTAAGCAGGACTGATTCACACCTAGATGGTTTCATAATTAGACAACCTCCAGTCTAACCATACAAGGAAACCAAGAAGTTATCTTAAGCTCCTGTTTTTCCCAGTTTGGGTTGAATCCTTAGTAAGTACTATTGATTCTACTTTCAAAGTATAACCAGAATATCTCTAACTGCTAATATCCTGATTCAAGCCGCCATCCTGTATTTCTGAAGTAGCATCTTTATTAGTTTCCTTACTAATTTCCTTCCTCTTTATGGCTTGCTCTTAAAGGCACAGCCCTTTAACCCTCTGTAAAGAAAATCAAATGGCACTACCTCTGTATTCAAACTCTTCCAGCATCTGCTCATCCTTCCAACAGCTCAAGGGCCTTTTACATGTACTGGGAGTGCGCTGCCTCTTCAGCCTCTTTTCTAACATGCTCTCCCTTGCTCTCTCTACTCAGTAACCTCCTGACTGTCCCTCCTATACCAGGTTCAAAATCACAGTGTATTACATAGCACACAATCCTGAATCTGAAATAAGGATACTTCACAACTGTATTATTCTTTCCCCAATCCAATAATCTTAAGTTAATTGTGAGAAAATTTTCAGACAAACCAAAAACTGAGGGACACTCCAAAATTATCTTGCCATTATTTTCTAATATTGTCAAGGCCAAGAAAAACAAGAAAACACTAAGAAACTGTCCTAGACCAGAGAAAGCTAAGGGGACAAAACGACTAATGGATTAGGTCCTTAAGTAATGAGATTACATTAATCGGAAAACTAGTGGGAGTAAACAAAGTCTGGAGGTTAACTTAAAAAGTTGAGCTCTCTAACCTACTAATGTGATATATATGTCCAGTTGTCTAGGTATTTTCTAATACCATGACTAAAAATTCAGAATGTTTCTGGTGGTCATACACTGTTATTTTGTAGTGCTTCATGAGATGCAGGCATCAGTTTAAATCCAGTGCATTGCTCTGCATTCAACAAACACTTCTGGGCAGCACCCTCTGATGAAGGGGTGATGAAATGGTGATGGAGGATATCCTTATCATGTTTCTGATCATAAAAGGAACATTGTCAACATTTTATCATTAAATATGATGTCACAGTAGATATTATACAGATATGCCTTACACGATAAACTAACACTATCCATATCTGTTGGCTTTCATGGTGCCCATTCATGGGTACAGAATTTTACAAAACAACTTTCTGCTTGTTGAGTATTTGATAACCCTCAAATCTGTTGAATGTCATGATTGAGGGCCTTCTCTGAAATCAAGAGAATCAAGCTAGTTAGTTCACTGCTGCTGTTTAGATTCCATGTGTAGACTGCAGGAGTTCATGCTGGCCATATACAGGGATACACAAGATACTGTCTATCGGAGTCAGAGAGAGTGTAGGGTACTGGGGCAAGCACCCCCTGGAGGGGGATAGCCATAGGTGAGCCATTCATTCTGTGAGGTTTGTTTGTGGAGTTGCTGGTAGAGTCTGCAATCTAAGTAGCACGATCTGCAGTCAGCTTGCTGGAAAATGAGTTCTGGTGTTTGCATGTTCCCCTTTGCTGCCCTCAGTTCAGCTAGGCTGGTCCCCTCAGGGTTCTGAGTTCGGGGTGCAGGGTGGTGTGGGACTGATATAAAAATCCTGGGTGGCATCCGCAGGGCTGGGGAGGTCAGATACTCCCTTCTGTGGCTGAGGGAGCTGTCTGGGCATTGAGCTGTGCTACTTTGAATCTGCAGAGGTGATGTGAACTAACTGTTCTTGTCCTTTTCAACTCATGCATTACTGATGCTCCTTCCTTCCTTTACAAAGGTGCTGGAAATTCTAAGAAGCTCTGGTCTCCACAGACAGACTACGATCCTTGAGTGGCTTAAAAAATTGGTGTTTCTGTTAGGGGACAAGGGCTGGGATCTCTTTTCTGCCACCTTGTTCACATTACTCCCCCATCTGAGTCCTCTTAAGATTGGTTGTACTTCAGTCTGTAGCATGGTAGGGTTCACCAATTCTGAAAATATTTCTGCTGCCTTATTCTCTATTCACACAAAATTAAATACATGTTTTAATTTCCTTTTCCTATTTTTCATATTCCATTCTCTGTATCTACCTGATTTTATTTGATATAATTTTCTCTATCTTCCAATTCATTAATTCTGTCTTGGAATGTTTGATTCCTGTTAAAGCTATTAAACTCGTCCTGTGAGTTTTAAGTCCAATTATTACATTTTTTTCAGTTGTAAAAGTTCCTTTAATCTCCTATTAAAAACCCATTCATTACTGTTTATTCTATCACATTCAGATAATTTCAAAGTTAGCTATTTTTTTCTCTAATCATGACAGTCATTTTATAATCAACATCATATGACTCTAGCCTTTATGGGTAAGTTTCTGGTTCTTTTTGTTTCTGATAATTAACATAAACATTGCTGTCTTGTTGAAAAAAAAAATGAAGTGTGAGACTTCTACAGTGCTAGGGTGAAGGTGAAATTCTCCCAACATTCTTGTTTACTTCTGTCTGGTGCCTAAGGTATTCACAGCAGTGCCACTTCCAGTCCTCGGAGGCTGGAGACTCAGCTGCCTACCAGCATTGTGAAGGAGGGCATCAGATCACTGGAAGACAGCTGCTTGTTACTATCTGCTGCAGGACAATTCTTCCTACAGCTGCCATTTAGGCAGACTCTCAAGCATGGCAAGGATGATGCTTTCCTTGCACTTCATTCTTTTGATCGAGACATCATTTACGCTAGCTGGAGATCTACCACAGAACTCTTCAGTAGTCTTGGAAGTTGCTTCTTCTCACCAGCCTGAAAATCACACCTGTGCCCTGCGTAGGCAAACATCCTCAGGACAGTCTTCCAGGAACTTCTCTGTCACTGTGGGTTCCCGTCTTCACTGAGGTCTTGACATACGGATGATTTACTATCTAATCACTTCCTTAAAATTGTCAATATTTTTGTGCAATTTTCAATCTAGAATCACTAGTTTTCAGTGGGAAAGTGAGTAAATAATAACATTTTTGGAAAGAATTTCTGCATTGCACCTATTATAAACATAATTCCTCAAGTTCCATCCATTTTGCTACAAATTGACAAGACTTCACTCTTACAGCTGAATGGCAGTCCATTGTGCATATAAACCACATTTTCTTTATCCATTAATCAGATGATGGGTACCTTGGTTGATTAAATATTTTGGTTATTGTAAACACTGCTGCTATAAACATAGTAAAGCATGTTTATAGAAAACTGAAGAACCCGAATGGACAGTTCTTCAAAAAAGAAATATAAATGGCTAACAAATACATGAAAAAATGTTCAATATCAGAGAGACACAAATCAACTCACAATGAACTATCATTTCCTGTCAGAATGGCTTTTATCAAAAAGAGAGTAACAAATTCTGGTAAGGATGTGGATAAAGGGGATCTCTGATATCTGCGGGGATGCTAAATTAGTATAGGTACTGTGGAAAACAGAATGGCCATTTTCTAAAAAACTAGAAATGGAACTGCTGTATTATCTAATAATCCCATTACTGGGTATATATACCCAGAAGACGAACTTGCTGTGTACATTCTTCATGTGGATTCAAGATACAAAATTGAAAATAAGCATATTTATATCATTAATGTAGGAAAAGCTTGATCCTGTTTCTGGAAAAGCTACTAAAATTTTACAAGCAGACAAAACTTGTTCTATTATTCATTCCTCTTTGTAATCTATAGTTTAGTATGTAGGCTGATGCTTGATATTAATGAACACAAATTTACTGTTGTTTTCAAGCTTTTCATCCAATTTATCAATTCAGTATTTTAAAAGAAACAGGATCAAGACAATGCAAATTACAAAAAGCTTCAAGTTACCATCATCCTCCCAGCAGTTCTTAGAACTGCCTTCTCTCTCACCGCGGCCTGGCAGCACCGTCGGGTCTGTTGGCAGCTCGTCTTCTGGCACACCACCTTCACAGTCCGCCGCATCTGTAATACTTTCTTCTTCCACAATATGGAGTTTGTCTTCATCATCTGAATCTGAATTTGTTTCCACCACAGTATTGTAATTTGTAACTGTAACACAAGCAAGAAATGAATGATTTAAACTAGTGTAAAAATCAGCTATTGCGCCTCAGAAAAAAATGTATTAAACACAATACTAAAAAGACCGAAACTCAGTATTTCTTGACAACACACACTGGATGACCAAAATAATAATTCATAATTTTAACTATACTTATTGAGTACTTGTTTCATATCAAGTGCTTTATAAACATTAACCAACTTAATTCTTATAACATCCTTGTAACAATTCTATAGAACAGAGCTCTGCCATCTAATACTCATCCTCACATTTTACAGATATGGAAACCAGGACAGAGAGAAGGCGAGTTGTCTGCAATCCTATAACTATCAGTTACTAGCTGGCAAGTGCAGGGTTAAGACTGGATCCCCAGCAGTCTAACTCCATAAACTACATTAAACATCTTCTCTAACCACCAGGGCTTACTGTACAGAACACTGTGCATGACTCGGCCTCAGGTCTGGACAGCATTACAGCTTAAGCAAATGGCAAACTTTCCTGATAAGATGGCATGACATCATTACATTTGCCATAAGCAAAATATTTTCAAGGTTTTTAGACCCAAGGCATCTCATTCTATTCTCACATGGACATTAAAAACAATCAATCAGCTTAGCCAAATTCCTATGTAATAAAGGCATCACTAAAACAGTGTTTAACTCTTCTGAAAAAAAAATGCCACTTAGAAGCATAAAAATGAGCAAACTTTCCATAATTTTGATGACTCAGTGAAATTTAACACAGCATTCGTTATAGGGGTGTGTAATTATTCTAATGACTCTATAATTTACGGAACCATGAGTAATACTAGCAAGCTCTATGTAATCCATGTTTTCATGTGTCCTTAAATATAATTATTAAACAATTACAATGGGATAAATATTTAAAAGTTAATTGGGTGTGTACTGGTCACTAGAACATGCCTTTGAACTAGTTCTCCTTTGCTAAGACTGAGGATGAGAGAACAAAGGAACCATGCCTGGTTCTGTCTAGATAGCTAAGCAATAATCACTGCTACTTATTCTATTACTTCTTTGAGCTTTTCAACCATTCTTAAATGAAGACAATATCTAAATACTTAAATGATATGCATACGCACAATCTGTAAATACACACACATGCATACACAGAGATACACATTTGAGGCCACGAAGGAAACAACACAAACAGTAATGGTGGGAAACAGGGAAAGGTGAAGACAAATAACCTAAGCAGCTCCTGTTGGCCTAGGGAACAGGCCTCATGCAGAGAACCTATGCTGTCACTCTGACATCTTAGGGGTCCTCAACATCTTATGTCCCATGAAAACTGTCAGGATTTCTGAGGTCGTAAAATCTTTGACATGACTGTTTTCTTGATACCTCCCCAAGAGTATACAGTTTTCTGTCTTATTTTACTACAAAAGCAATCCATGTGTGTTTGTTGTAGATGAAGGCTGGACAATGATCACCAAAATGCGGTTGGGTAGAAGTAATAGGTACTATTGTTCCATGGCACAGCAGGGTGAATGACAGCTCGTATTCAAGAATACATACCAAGGTACAACTAGAAGAGTTCATGTGCTCCAAACATAATGGAAAGGAAATGGAAATGCTAATTATCATATTTGATCAGTTTACTTTACTTGCAGGTGTTGAAATATTGCACTGCACCCCCATAAACTGTATATACACACACACATATATAATGTTAAGAAAAATTAAAAATTTAAGTCAACAAAGTCTATAAAACAAGTGAAGGAACTTCCTCTGCTTTCTCTGAACATAAAACTAATAGCAAAATTAATTATTTCAGTGTTGTAGGCAGCTATAACATTTTATATACCTAAACTTATTTTTAAAACACAACTCACTTTAAACACTTATTTGCTTATTTCCTATATTTCCTAGATGTAAATTAGTATATGAATGTTTAAAAGCAAACACATGTTCACATCACCCCATTTAATGGCTTAGTTTTTTTGCAGTCTTTAAAATATCTTGGATACATATCCATTCATGAAGTTTTCCTATTTTCTTCTGAATGGCTACACAGCATTACACTCTATTATACAAATATAATGTGATCAATAGTTTATTAATAACATTTTGTTTGTTTCCAGGGATAAGCACTAACAGAAATGTCACAATAAATTTTCTTCTAAATATATTTTCAGCCATTCTATTAAAAACATTTATAAAGTAGACTGCTAGTGGTAGAACTGTGAAGTCAAAAGGAAAACTTTTTACAGTAAATGTTGTCAAACTGGTATTCAAATATTCCTAATGTTTCCACAAATAATATCTAGTATGCTCTGTTCAGTATAAGAACAAAAACCCTTTAATATAGTAAAAGGAAAACATGTATCAGGATGGGGACCTGGCAAGTTCCTTGAGCTGAGTCAGCTCTGACGTGGTAGGAACAATTCTTTGACCATAAATGTTTTATGGCAAGTCTTTAACTGGTTATAAGATACAGGTTAGGAGCCTGACAATCTAGCTAAATGGCTAAATCGTCATTTTGCAAGTGCCATAATCCCACGTAGGTGCCAGTTGGTGTCCCAGCTGCTCCACTTCCCATCCAGCTCCATGCCTGTGGCCTAGGAGAGCAGTGGGGGACAGCCCAAGGCCATGGGACCCTGCACCTGCATGAAAGACTTGGAGGAAGCTCCTGCTTTAGATCAGCTCAGCTCTGGCCATTATGGTAATTTAGGGAATGAACCAGCAGATGAAAGATCTTTCCTCCTGTTTTTCCTTATCCCTGTAGATCTGATCTACATTTCTAATAAAAATAAATACAAAGAAAAAAGATACAAGTACACACACATATTTAGCTCTGTCTAGAACGGAGACTCATGCTGGTTAATGCTGCACAACACTCTTATCTTTCAAGCTTATTTATTAATAACCTACTATTTAACTTACTATACTCATTTAAAGTTGTCACATATATAAGCTGAAATTAGATTTCGATTGAAAACAGACTATGGCTAGCATTTACTGAGGACCCATGAAGTCCACACTATCAAAGTTCTGGCTGCCACATGAAGCTCATCATACACTAATCATACCTGGGCACAGTGAAACTCCATGCTGCCATCTTGGGTAGGAAGGTATCAGTGTTTCTAAGCTATCCATGGTTACATTGGTGACATTTTTAACTCTTAATGAGGTAACACTATTGTTTAGTGTTATTATAATCAATTCTGTCAGTTACAGGTTGTTTGGCCAACCCCAGATAGCATATCTAAACACTTAAGTGTAGAGTGATTTTACAACTAAAAACACCCTGAAAATCAATCTTTATGACATACAAGGGTTAGGGTGGGTGTGGGGCTGTCATTGTGGCATAGCAACTTGAGCCACAGCCTGCAATGTTGGTATCCTAGATGAGAACTGGTTTGAGTCCCAGCTGCTCCACTTGCTATCTAGCCCCTGCTAATGCACCTGGGAAAACAGCAGAAGACAGTCTATATATGTGGGCCCCAGCCACCCAGTTTGAGATAGGAATGGAGTTCTTGACTCCTGCTTTGGCCAGGCTCAGAATTTGGCACTGTGGCCATTTGGGCAATGAACTAGCAGATGGAAGACTCATTCCTATTCATTTTCTCTCTCTCTTTATCTCCTTCCCTGTTTTCCTCTCTTCTTCTCTCTCTCCCTCACTCCCTTGCCAACATTCTGCCTTTCAAACAGATAAACAGTTTAGCAAAATATGCAAGAATGCTTCAAAAGGTTAATGGCAAATGGAATTTAAAGCAAAGTTTATTTTGGAGCAAAACACCTTTTAAATCTATGTACATAAAAGCCGTTCAACAAGCTCATAGAAAATGTGCATTAGGAAAAAAAAGAAAGGATTTCAAAAATATGGCACCGGAAGGAACCTATCTTACCATCCCATTTCCCAGGAACCTTCTGAAGCACCCTCACATATGCATTAGGCTTCACATATTTGTATTCTTCAGGGTTTTTACCAGGTTCTCTCTCACCTGAGCTGCCAGGGGTTCTCCTGTCTCATAGCCCAAAGTGCTCCTCAAGAGTACTTTTCGGGAACTCAGATAGAACTCATTTTCCTGTTGCCCAGCATAAGCTGCCATTGTAAGGCAAATAATCAACATACAAACTACATATATTTTATAGCTATCATATCAGCTTTCCAGGAAGCATTTTGATGTGTGACATGAAACTAGAAAAATATGTAACAGCAATATTTTATTAGTAAAAATTGAAAAAAAAATCAATAACAATTTCCTAAGGTTTCTCACTGTTATTTCTTTTGTTTGTTTCAGTCACTTAGCTGAGGGAAAAAGCACTAAAAAACTGTATTAATGTTTACAACTGACATAATATGGAAATTTCCTTGTGTTTCTGGATCTTTGTTTTTGCTTATGGATCAACAGAAGTACATTTTTTTTTTAAAGATCTCCATCTCTTAGAGGAGAAACTAACACAGCCTTTAAATTCTAGCAGCCCATGACAGTGTCAGTTATCTTGGCCCATCTCCATAACTCTATAGCATTTGTTTAAAAACCATGAGAAAATATAGTTTGTCTAAAGACTGAGGTATTTTTTTAATGATTATTGGTGTCCAATTATTGCTGAGCTTTTAATTATATCAGTGAAATAGCAAGGAAGGATTAAAGAAGTTATATAGGAAAAAAAATTTAAAGTACAAGTTATACTGTGCAATTTTAGTATCAATTTTAATAGAAATGGGAGGGCCCAGTGTGGTAGCCTAGTGGCTACATTCCTTGCCTTGTATATACTGAAATCCCATATTGGCACTGGTGTGTGTCCCACCTGCACCACTTCCCATCCATTTCCCTGCTTGTGGCCTGGGAAAGCAGTCAATGACGGCCCAAAGCCTTGGGACCCTGCACCCAAGTGGAAGACTCAGAAGTTGCTGGCTTCAGATTGGCTCAGCCACTTGGGGAGAGAACCAGCAGATGGAAGATCTTTTTCTCTGTAAAATGTGCCTTTACAATAATAAAATTAGACCTTTTAAAAAATAGAAATGGGAATACATTGAGTGGGTTCTTACTGTCATCTCAGTGCTAGTTTT